CCCGCCGAGGGTTCGGATCCCATGTGGAGACCAGTTCCAGCTCACTGGCTGAGCGCGGTGTCCACCGAGAGTTGCGATCCCGTTACCGGTCAGTAAAAAAGACAAAAAGGAAAAAAAAAAGAGTAAATATGATGCATTCCATTCCAAACCTAAATGGAATCATTTAAGGAAATAATTTGTTTAGATCATCTGCATTGTTATGTGTCTGTGTTGATTTATGGCATATTCTTATTTATCCTTCAGAATGCACATGCTACAGTAAGGCTTTTCCAACCCCGCTCTCACTGCATCTCAGTTTATTAATAATTCTCTCTTTTATGCCATTTCTGCCTCATATGTTTACTTTTTACGTTGTGCCCTTTCACTGTATTATATTGTATTTATTCATTTGTCTACCCCACTGGATTCTGATTCCTTGAAAACCTAGACTGTCTCTCATTCTTCTTTGTATTCCCAGTGCCTGAATAGTGCCCGTCAGTGTCTGGCATATAGTAAGTATATGAAAAAATGCTTGGTGAACAGACATATATTAGCAAGAGTTGGGGAGTGGGAAACAAAGGTAAGAAATTAAGTATCTTTACTTATCATCTATGGGGTAGGTCACAGTCATCTGCACATAATTCTAGCACAGAAAGATTCATATACGGTACTGGGACAATTAGGTATCCACATGTAAAAGAATGCAGTTGGACCCCAACCTCACACCATACACAAAATTTTAAATGGATTAAAAAATGTAAATTTAAGAGCCAAAACTATGAAACTCTTAGAAGAAAACTCTTGGGGAGTTTAGCTGCGTAAGTGCTCTTTTATAAGCACTTATCATGCTGTATAGTGTCATGAATCTTCATATACAGTACAGGTGCTGTGGAGTTTGGTTTGGGTTATAAAGTCATAATGTGATACATAAGACAGAAATCATGAGGGCTGGCCAGTTAGCTCAGCTGGTTAGAGTATGGTGTTATAATGTCAAGGTCAAGGATTCAGATTCCTATACCAGCCAGCCACCAAAAAAAAGGGAAAAAAAATCATGTGTTTTTGAAGTCTCTTAAATCACCAGGTTTAGGCCTTGGAAGTTCAAATGTAATGGATGAAGGGAGGGACTACATTTAATTTTGACTCCTTACATAAAAGTAGTGCACTGCTGTGCATTTTTGTAAGTACTTCAATATTTGTTCCATGGTTGATTTTGATTGCTTGAGGAGAGGTTTGGGTCTAATAAAAAGAAAATGTTGTTTGTAAAGGTGATTTAACACTGTATCCATCCTATTAAGGAAGGTGAAGTGTCCCTACAACTCTCTAAGCGTGGGCAAAACAGCCATTGGTATTGCCTCATTTAAGCAGGGTCTGGTTTGGAAACAAATCTTGAACCAAGTGTCCTCTCTGGTGCACTCCTTCTCTTTTGGCAGGGTTTGTTCTTAGAATGTGTTTTGTTAATAAATTAACTCATTTTCTATTGTAGCTGCCCAAGGGAATTGTCTTTCTTGGTGAGTGGCTTAGAAAGCACAAAAGAGATTGTCATCCTTTTTTCTTAACCTAGTATGTGGGCTAATTTTGATTATTTATCTTTTATTTATTCTTTTTTAGGAAGCTAAACTCCAAGGTGGAGAGGAGTCAGAGCTGCAGTGACACAGCCCAGGATAGAGTGAAGAGCAGACTCAGAGCAGCTCCAACCAACAAAGCCAAGGTACACCTCAGCTCCAGGCTTCTGAGGCTCGCTAGTCCCATCTCATAGCCTCCTCTGCACATGGCAGAAACTATTCCAGATGAGAAGAGGCAGAATGGCTCCCAGGCATACTAGTAATGTTGAGGAATTCAACAAATAGATGTGAAGGAAGAGAGTTTGAATGAGTAGCCAGATGGGTGGAATTAGGGCCATTAGAGAAATATTTTTAAAAGCTCTACATGTTTTTTTCCCTGTAGACTTTCAGTTTTATTAATTGTTTCAAGTATGTAGGAGTTTCTGCTAAATGGTGCTTTCTAGGTTAGGGATTTTCCTCATTTCTTAGGCTTACATTATCTTTTATCCCTTTTCCTTCCCTTCCCTATCCCTCCACTATCATAAAGGAATAATGAAGAAAAAAAAAATGTGTGTATGTATGTATAATCTTTTTAATCTCTTTTAGGTCACAACTGTAACTGTCCTTCCCTTCCCTATCCCTCCACTATCATAAAGGAATAATGAAGAAAAAAAAATGTGTGTATGTATGTATAATCTTTTTAATCTCTTTTAGGTCACAACTGTAACTCCAGCCTCCAACCCCATCATTGGTGTCCTCTTGTCCACTCAAAACAACCGCTGCCTCTCAGCCCCTGACTTAACCATTGAAAAGCGTCTACCTTTTAGCTCCCTCTCATCCTTGGTTTCCCTGCATAAGCCAGAGCGCTCTATCAGCCCTGAGAGCAATGACAGCATCTCCGAAGAACTAAACCATTTTAAGCCCATTGTCTGCTCACCATGTACTCCTCCCAAGAGGCTCCCTGATGGTCGTGTGCTAAGTCCCCTCATCATCAAATCAACACCCCGCAACCTAAGCAGAAGCCTGCAAAAGCAGACTTCTTATGAGGCCAGTCCACGGATCCTCAAAAAGTGGGAACAGATCTTTGAGGAGCGGCAGATCAAAAAGACCCTTTCAAAAGCCACTCTCACCTCCCTGGCTCCTGAAACGGAAGACTTACTAGGCTCTGAAGTTATACATTCTAGCAAGGAGAAGTCACTTCTGGCTTTAAATACAAGACGGTCCAGTGGGCCAGTACTCTCAGGGTATATTGGACCCATCTCCACTGACCTTGATTATTTCCCCTCTGTTAGCCAAACAAAAGCAGAACAGGACAGTGATAGTAAAAGGAACGCTGAGATCCCACTGGAAACCTGCTGTTCCTCAGAACTCAAAGGAGGAGCCAGTGAGACTTCTTTGGAGAGGGAGCAGTTTGAGGGGTGTGAGGGGTCGGGGTCAATGCCAGATGCCACGTTAGACAAAACCCGTATAAGCACAGCCATGAAAATCTCTGCAGCTAATTCTGTGCTACCCAAAAACAGTGTTTTGGGTGGGGTCTTCAAAACAAAGAAACAGCTGAAGACTTTAAATCATTTTGATCTGGCTAATGGTGTTCTGGTAGACAGCCTAGGTGAGGAGCCACTTCCTTCCTTGCGTCGGGGCCGGAAGAGACATTGTAAGACCAAGCACTTGGAACAAAATGGCTCCCTTAAGAAACTGCGACAAACCAGTGGTGCGGTGGGCCTGGCCCCAGCAGACCCAGTACTGCGAGAGATGGAGCAGAAGCTACGGCAAGAGGAAGAGGACCGACAGCTGGCTCTGCAATTGCAGCGCATGTTTGACAACGAGAGGCGGACTGTGAGTCGGCGAAAAGGAAGCGTGGATCAGTATCTCCTACGGTCCAGCAGCATGGCTGGGGCCAAGTAGCACTTAATGAACAGTGGTACCCTTTTTTAAGAGGTCTTTGTCCTTGCTCATTTATCCTGAAGAGCTGAGTGTTCTCACTTTGGGTTTCTTTTAATGTAAAGCACTGTCTAATATGGTTTTGAGAAGTTCTAAGACTGTTGTAGTCAATATCTGAGGGAACTGCATCTCTGTTTCTCTGTGACCCAGGCCAGAAGCACTCCTCACCCACTGAGTCACCCACCCCTGAGGGCTTCCAGGCCAAATCTGGCAGCACCCACTTGGAATGAGATTTGGAATAGCCTCATTCAGGAGCACAATGGCCAGAGTGAGAAATGGTAAAGGAAAGAGGAGATACCTTCTCAAGCTGCTGGACCTCCTGACTTCTTTTAACAAGGTGTTGTTTTAAATCAGCCTTGCAGATAAAAATTAATTCCATCTTTTTCAAAGAAGTGGAACAGTATCTTTGGCAAATCCAAAATGATAAATTATTTTCCTCTTTCACCTGTTCCTTGCCACAAGTAATTCTACCCACCTAAATCAACTAAGCTTATGCTTCTACAAAAGTTAATTTACGTTCTCTGTTTAAAAGATAACATTTGAGTAATGCTATATAGTTGACAGAGCACATTCACAGACATTGTTTAATTTGGTCTTCCCAGGAGACCTAACATGTAAGTGATGTTAGCCCCATTTTTAGATGATGAAAGTGCACTGCAGATGTTCCAGTTCTCTCAACTACTAAGAGGCATAGCCCAGACTGACCACTGGGTCTCCCAGCAACACATCCTATGGATTTTCCTACACTAACAGGTTGCCTGGGACTGCAACCGAAGGGCGTGCCAGAGGAGCCTAGGAAGAGCTGGCTGGGCATTGAACACTGATAGTGCAAAATCCACGTGCAAATAATTAAGATTGACAGGATGTATAAATACATACTGTGTAGTTATCCTCACCCCCACACTTCTGTTTTCTTGGGGGTTCTAGCCTGTGAGACATACTACAATTGGGCTTCATTATTACTTTCCATATGGCCAAGGGTTATCTGCAATGTTGATCTAAAATCCTCAAAATTTGCCCTGAAGTCAGGAAAAGAACAATGCTGAAACTCTGTACTGTGGAAACAAGGTATCTAGCTGGATGCAGCTGGTAAACTCAGTCCCATGGACCTTTGGGGTTTATTTTCCTTAGCAGCTGACACTGTGTGTCTTTTGCATCCCTGGTGGTGCTTGGTGCTTCTGCCCATCTGGGCTCATTGAGAACAGGGATTAAGAGATGATTTTAGGGAATCTCAGTTGGGCTGGCATTCCCTGTGTATGTATGAACTATTACTATAAAGTCATGTGACTGGCATTTTAACAAACCTTCCAGAGCTTATATATCCCAATGTATGTTGTACCCCTTGAGTAGCCCCAGGAGGATACTGCATAGTTTTTCCAATGATGTTACCATTGGTGAAAACATTTCTGGAACTGCCTTCAAAGACTAGAAACATCTAGAAACATAGGCTCCTAAAATATTAGACCAGGAAGGTACCTTAATGGTCATCTATTCCAACCTCCTCCTAAGGCAGAGGCTAGGGTTCAGAGCAATGACTTACTGATGGAAGGAATTACTATAGTACCTTTTAAAAAAAATTCTTCTCAGGAGATTTGTCCCCTTCTCAGGGCAAAATCTTCAATCTTTTGGGGTTATAGGAGAGAGAATTTTAAGTTTGAAACTATCTGGAAGCTATTTGAAGCTTCTAAGAAAGAAGGCTTATCAAGAGGGTTTGAAGTCATAAATGGGGTGCTGCTGTAAAGCAGTCAGAGCCATTTTCTTGTGCAGTTCATAGTTCCCAAACAGTTCCCAAAGAGAAGTTCCAGAGATGTCTTAAGCATTGTGGTCGTCACTGAGATATGTAGAATCTCTTCGGTGACTACTTTGGTGGGGAACATCACTCACCTGAATGTACTTATTCTGTGTCCTGTGTGTGTGTGCATGCATGTGTGCAGATGTATGTTTAAAAAACATGCATCAATCTCATATTTGGGCATGTTAGTGCCCAAAATAGAAGAGCTGGCACTGGTCTGCAGAGGACAGGGAAGGTGACCTTACTAAATGCCCTTAGAGAAAACTTATCAGTTACTGCCATTTCATATATTTCCTTTTCAATCTTAGTAAATATTATTGGAAGGCTAGCCTTGCTGGTAGTGGCAAAGACACTTATTTTTCCTTATGCATCCAGCCTGTGGCCCCTTTCATAAAATTGCCTCTTTTAAAAAAAGGTTAAGGCTTCTTGGCTGAGGCTTGCCAAGGAAATTTTTCCTAAGTGTCTTCATTTATTTTTTCAACTTTTAATTTAATTTTTAATTTTTGCCTGGAGGAAGCACTGACGTTAAATGCCTTCTGTTTTCTGTTGATTTTCCCTAAAGGAAAATTGCCCTTAAGGGATTGAAGCTGCTTAATTAATTGCTGTCTGATTACAAACTGGCAAACTGAAATGGGAAGCTGCCACTACTTGCCTGGTGCAGCTGATGACTGAAGGCTGTGCTGCTCATCCTTTCTGTTCCATCTGACGGACATTTCCTGAGCTTCAAACTTGTGCCAACCCCGTGCTGGGTCATGGGCATACAAAAATGGAAAGGACAGCCCCTACTCTTGAGGAGCTCGATGTCTAATGGAATGTATTTAAATGTATATCTGGCTGGAGAATTTGTTAATGGTCTTAGGAAAAGCCATTTCTTTCATAGCCATGCTCTTTGACAGTCCCATTTAGGATACTGTCCAGCACCCAGCAGGCTGCCTTGAACATTTTAGAGACCCCATCAGTATCTGTGAATTTGATTGTAATATTGCTTTCCATTTCCTAAATTATTTTACCAGAGGAGAATGAGTTTTCTCCTCTAGTGATGACAAGACAATAATACCACTTCAGGAGCTGCCTTTTTAGCTTAAGCTCCAAGAAATGAAGAAGGCTGTGGATCACTGACATGGTCGGGGACCTCAATTTAGTAACTTAATCTCTCTTCCAACCTGATCTCTCACCAGAGCCAGGAGCAACTTGGGATTCCTTTCCTTTCTCCTGGCCGGGTTTTCATTGAAATGGAGGGCCAGCAGGAGAGGGAGAGAATAAAACTCAAAAGCTAGATCATAATCATAGAATGTTATCTGGAATGAGCGAGGAAATCATCCAAGTTAAACTCCCATCCCTTTTTGTTTTTTTGCTGGTACAGAGATTGAACCTAGGACCTTGGTGTTATGAGCACCATACTCTAACCAACTGAGCCAAATTCTACTTTTTTTTTTTAACAAATGAGGAATTTGAGGTCCAGTGCCCTGTGCCCTATTTTATACTGTAGTTTTCTAGAGTTTGAATAAATAGTCCTTAAAGTCACACACACACACACACACACACACACACACACACACACACACACACACACACACCCAGGACCTTGCTGTTATGAGCACCATACTCTAACCAACTGAGCCAAATTCTACTTTTTTTTTTAACAAATGAGGAATTTGAGGTCCAGTGCCCTGTGCCCTATTTTATACTGTAGTTTTCTAGAGTTTGAATAAATAGTCCTTAAAGTTACACACACACACACACACACACACACACACACAATTTGCTAATGAAGGAACACCCAAATGATTTAGAAGGCTTTTTTTTTTCTCTCTCTCTAAAAAAAGATGACCGGTAATGGGATCTTAACCCTTGGCTGGTGTTGTCAGCACCAAATGAAGGAACACCCAAATGATTTAGGAGGCTTTTTTTTTTTTTTTCTCTCTAAAAAAAGATGACCGGTAATGGGATCTTAACCCTTGGCTGGTGTTGTCAGCACCACGCTCTCCCAAGTGAGCTAACCAGCCATCCCTATATAGGATCCGAACCCGGGGCCTTGGTGTTCTCAGCACCACACTCTCCCGAGTGAGCCATGGGCCGGCCCTAGGAGGCTTTTTGTTTTAACAGATTATTCTCCCTGACTTTTTCAGTTAGAATTAAGATGCAGCTATATCCCTTGAATACACACTCAGGTAGGGAAAGTCTCCACAGTCTGAGTAATGTGAATGTAGTATCTTGGGAAACGATAAATTTTGATTGGAATAATTGTCGCTTTAATTACCAAGTTCATTAAAAGCCAGGCAGCCCCTTCATTTTTGCTTGAAAATCGGAAACTCCTTAGGATCTTAAGTCTTTCTCAGCCAGCCTTGTCCTTATCAACCCATAGAGGGGTCTTTTGGCCTGGTCTTTAGAGTGAATGTAGCTGGTTATGAGTTCTTGTGACTCAATGAGAAAGGTTTATTGTAGGGGTGGGGTGGATTTTAGGGAAAGAGGCTGCTGAATAGATTTTCTTCGGAAGATGGTCTAGAAATGCATTTTTACACATGATTATTATCCACTGTAGCTTTCTGAAGAAGATTGTCCTGTAGAAAAGAGATACATAGAGGTCACCAGTTTAAGAGATTAGTCAAATTGGATAAAGGAAAAAATGCCAAGACTGAACATTTAGCTTGTTCTATGTATTATCAGTATTTTTTTTTTCTAAGAAAAAAATTTACTCTCCGTGAATAAATGCTTCCTTAATATCTTGTCAGTAAGGTGACAACTTTTAACAGCCTTCACAGTGTGAGAGGCAACTTCAGTCTTTGAGCAGGCTCCCCTCTCTACCTTTCCAACAAATAGTAGGACAAGGCCAGGATAAAGCAAGGCTTGTTCATCTTTCTCTCCTCTCATTAAATATGAGGTTAAAACCAGGCAATGCGCTCTTCAAATATCAAACTCTTAGAGCCCAAGAGTAGCTTTTGGTCCTGGTTCCAGCCAGATAAGTAAGGTAGCAGTCAGATTCTTCCTCTTGGTACTGCCCACCCTCTAAGCTGTGCCACCAGTGGGAGCAGGGGCTGTGCCTCAGTAGGCTAAAGTTTGCATCAAACACTGTATCACCAACCCTGAGCCTAAGCAGAGCACTTAAAGTCCTAATGAGAGAATAGATAGATACTATGCAAGGGAAAAAATGACTATCTTAAATGCCAACTAATGGATTTTTTTTTTTTTCCCTCCTGATGTGCTGTTTACTCTCAACTCTTTGTACAAGTACACTTGTTCTAAGGGCCTTTCCCCCTCCCGCCTAGAAACAGAAAAATGTGTCGTGTATTGGTTTTCTTCAACCTGCTGTCTGCATTAGAATGGGAGTAGGGGACTGGATCCTTATGGACTGCCACTGTTGGCTGCCTCATCTCTGACTCATAAAGAGCATTTTGACAAAGACAGAGGACTCGGAACAGGGCATGTATGCCTTGTCGGGGATGCTTCTGCCAACAAGGAAATGGCATGGAATCAAACGGGATGATATATTGTTTATTTAAACAGTACCAAAGTGCATTCTTCAATGTATGTTTGCCTGCTTGAGGCGAGGCCCAAGTTGAGAATACAGTAAAGCAAACTCATGAAAGTGAATGTTCTGTTTCTAATCAGTCTCGTCTCTGGAGAGCAATCTCAGACAAACATGGGCTAAGCTTAGACTGTGTGTTGTTTGATTTTTGGTGCTATCTTTGCTCTGAGAGATACCCCATGTTACAATGTCTTGTTTTGGCATTCAGAATGATGGGAGAGATTAGGAGCTGGGATGGGGTTTCCATGGTGAACAACCATTGTCTTTTGACAAGTTATCTCCAATTTAGTCCAATTTACAGTTCTTAAATTCAACCATTCATACTCCTAATAAAAGTGCCAAGAAAGCATTTGAATGAAAAATGAAGGTACAGGATGACATTGTCCTTGCACAATAGGGCTATATACAGAATATCTAATTTTTAAAAATATTTTTTGGAACAATTATTTAGCAATTCATCAAAATCCCCTTGGCATCAGTTTCTCATCCAGCAGCGAACAAATATATCCCCATTCCATCTAAACTTGGAAAACCAACTTGAAAGACTATTGTAAGAGTCCATGCCATACATGGTAAACCAGCACTTGAGGGACGTTTTGAAATACTTTCAAAAGGAGAGTTGTTAATGATTTGCCAGAAACAATGTAGCTAATTGCAGATATGAGAAGAATATTTGTCTTTTAGCCCCTAAAGTAACAAAATGCTTTACACACCACTCATTCCTTTATATACTGGTGTGGTTAAATGCTGTGATCCTCATTTACAGATGGGAAACTATGGTCCTGACAGTTATTCATAACCTAAAAGCTGGGTCCTCTGACTCCAAAGGCACTGATTGCTTTTTTCTGCTGCTTAGACTCAAGCCAGCCTTAGGGTGGTGCCACCCTCTTACCAATGGCCTTGGCTAACCGCATGGTTCCATTTGCCTTCTAGATTAGATCTCCTCCTTCTGAACTGGGCCTGACAGGGTTAGAGAGACCAGTCTGTGGTCCCTCTGTGTCCACTGTTGGGGTGGGAGGTACCCAGAGGCAGTATGGGATGTGAGGCACAATCTGCATCTCAGTCAGTCAGTTCTCTCTCTTGACCACATCCAGCTCTTTGAGGGTGCTCACTGGCATCTTGGATAGGTGACTAGAAAAACAGTTCAGTTTGGAAGGAGAGTTCAAGGATATACCTGAACTGAAGGCAAAGGGATGAGTAAGAAACATTAGTTCCCATGGGTCTTACCTGGGTCTTCCTAGACGAGTAGCAGTCACGGGGCTCCTCATAGTGCTTCCTTCTTAGGAGTTCTATACTGACATTACTTGGTTATACATGGGGGGAAAGGAGCCAGCACGTACTCTTTTTCTCTCCAAACAGCCTCCAAGATGGGAAGGCCAATCAAATGGTGTTCAGAATGATCACCCAAAACTTAGAAAGTCTAGGAGAGGCAACCAATTTGTTCAGATGGTATCCTTAAGTGAGAAAGTTAATAGTGTTTGGCCTGGATAAGTGTAGCCTATTGAGGATGTTCTCACATCAATGAAGGGTTGGCCTGGGTGGGCAGAGAGAGCAGATACACTCTTGGGCAAAAAGCAGAGCTAGGACCACTGAAGGACTTTGGCAGACAGCTTAGCTCAAAGGCTAGAACTGTCCAATAGCTTTCCCAAGAAAGGAATCGGCAGCCTTGGGAGCGAACGAGCTATCACTAGATGTGCAGGCAAGAGTTGGATGATCTGTTAGATTGCAAGAAACTTCCTGCTTTGAGGTTGGGATAAGTATGTTCCCAGGGGCCTTTCAGGCTTGAGAGTATCTTCTGGCTGGAGGGAGCAGTCCAAATTGTTCTCCAGAATTGGAACACAGTCAGGTTTACAGTGTGAATGTTGGGATGAATTCTCCTTCCTAACAATAGGGAAGAGTTGTTTTGGGCCCCAGGAAATCCAAGCTGGTAAGTCAGGAACATGCCTCTGCACGACTGCTGCTGTGCGTAACAATGGATTACCTGTATCTGTTCATGTACCTTTGTAACAGTGTGACTGTGTATGCTGACTGTATGATGGTGAATGTGTGTCTGGGTATGACCGTAGTTGGGTATAAATATTTAACTGGCCACAAGTGTGAGACTGCAGTTGCATATGATAGTATACAAATACTTAATTGCAATTTAGGTTGTGGTAATGTGTGCCTTGCTGAGGATCCTTATCCTTGTGCCACTGTTTCCTGGACCCTGGGAACTGCACACCTGCTACCCAAGTTTGAATTGTAGTCGTCCCCAGGAGAGCAGCCTCAAGAACAAGGGTTGCCCAAGGTCACACCTGGCATTCATCCCCAAATGCCCATCCCTAGAATCCAGCCCCAGTGGCCTTCTCCAGATCCTCCTCTGTAGCAGATACTGGGTACTGGGCCCTCATCAAGAAGGTGGCAACCCTGCAGGCTGTCTTGGCAAGAAGTAGTTCACTTACTATGAGCCCAGGTTGACCTTGCACAGCCCTGGGGTCTGTTTTGAAGCCACAGCCTAACATGTTTGCATATGGGACTTCAGCTTGTGTCATGGATTAGAGGACCTTGGGAAACTTCATGTAAACCCTATCCCCTCTGCTTGTCCCATCTTTGTGACCATGGACATCTGATAAGGGAATACACAATCCTCTCCTCCCCTTCCCCCTTGCAATGGAAAAAGCTGCCCAACTTATTCTGGGTCCTGGAGGCCTCAGTTTTAACCCCGTCCCTTGTACTGGCTGTGGGCAAGTTAATTAACTTCTCAGCCTTAGGTTTAGGTTCTGTGCTGCTTCTCTGTTCCACACTCCCCGCCCCTCCGCCCCGTTTTCTATCCTAGCACTTATCACAGCTTTGTCATACATGTGTGACTCTAGCAGGTTTCCCACAAGCCTCTTGGGATGCACACATCAGTCGGGTATTTCCCCCCCAGTGTGACAACGCCACGGTGGCCCAGGCCCGGGTTCCAAGAAAGAATGCGTGGCTTCCACTCCCTTGCTCTACGCACCTCTCTTTATTGCTGCTGGGCAGGCACCGGTACGACCCAGGGAGGGGAGGTCCTGAGGAGTTCCCCACTCTCTGCGGCCAGCGAGCGAGGCCCAGCTGAGCTCTGAGGCCCACTCTAGGCCCGGCAGACTCCAAGGCACGGCCTGAGCACAGTCCTAGTCTTTCAAGTCACTGGCCGGGGACGCCTGGCAGAACTCATCCATGAACTCGAGGAAGCGGCCGAACTTGGGCTGGCCCTCGAGCACAGTTCTAGTCTAGTCTTTCAAGTCACTGGGCGGGGACGCCTGGCAGAACTCATCCATGAACTCGAGGAAGCGGCCGAACTTGGGCTGGCCCTCGCTCAGTGCAGGGCGGGCCGGGGGAGGCGGGGTAGCCCCAAACACCTTCCGCAGTGAGCCCCGCACCAGCCGCTGGTAACGCGCCCGGAACTCCTTCAGCAGCCGCTTGGCCTCCAAGTACTGCTGCTGGTTCACCAGCCGCTGCTCTGTCCGGCGGCGCAGGACCGCGCCTGCAGGGGGAGAAGCCGGAGGGGCACAAGCTAGCCCTGGGTCCCACCCAGCCCGGAGCAGAGGGATCGAGTCCAGAGACCCATAAAGTGGGATGGCGTGGGAGGAGGATGTTAAAGGGACTGAAAATGGCCCTTCTGACTTGGGGCAGTGTGAAGGCAGTACCCTCTCCTGATTCTATCTCGAGCCTTGGTTCAAGTTGGAAACATGCTGTGTGACTTTAGGCAACCCCCTGCCTCACTCTGGTCTCAGTTTCTCCATCTGCACACAGGAAGAGCTGGGGAAGATGTTCTCTAAGGGCCATTCCTGCTCTGACACAAGTGCTTTCTTTGCCTTACACTAGGCAGATGAATCAACTGCTGGATCTTGAGCTGAGCCATACCTAGCGGAGCCTCTGTAATGTTCCGGGGGTCCCGCATGCGAATGAGGATGTCATCCAGCAGCTGGGCTCGAGTCTTTCGTGGGGATGGGACTGGGATCCTCAGGGCCTGACAGAAGGCAAGGGGAGAAGGTGTTATCCCAGGTTTATGTTCACTTTCCTGGCCTTGCTTCCTCATACGGTCGCAGCAACAGGCAGTGGAGCAGTTGGGGACACTGAGAAAGCATGGTCCCAAGGGGACAGTTGCATCTGTACCTATGGGGGTCCTGAGGGGCCATTCACACACTCAAAGAGCTGAATGTTTACCCGTTTCTCCTTGGGAACATAATGTTTCTGAAGAGTATCCAGCTTGGGCTTGGAGGAGCGGTATAGGAGTGGGTACTTCAGCATGTGATGCAGGGCCTGTGCATTCTTCTGGATTCCTAGGGCAAAAAGGCAAGAAAGCAAGACTGAATCAAGGCTCTTCCCCCTTCTCCTCCCAGATGCCTCCCCTAATTTCTTCATTCCCTATTCTCATAACAGCCCTGGGTAGGATTTGAGTTCCCAAGAAGAAAACACTGCTCCAAGATCTCTCCCTAATCTGTTCCAGTGCCTGAAGTGGCATCATTCTTCAGTGAATACTTGTCCCCTATGGGCACAGCTCCTGATGGAAAAATAGCATTGGTGTAGGGAAAAGGGCTAGTCCCAATGTGACCCCATTAATCCCAGGGGTAACATGCAGGGGCTGACACTCAAGAAAGCCCTGCTGAGTACCAGTTGCTTTGGAAGCACAGGTAGTATTAATACATCAGTCTGAAATAAGGGGCTTAGAGAGGGAGCTACCTCCTCTGCCTCAAACCAAATAGGAAGGATTTTGGATGTTGAGTGTGGGGCTTAACTGGGCTGCCAAGAGTTCACAAATCTGGTCCATGTGGGTGTTTGTCCACAAACCTTTCCTGGGAAGGGACTTTTCCAAACACAGCAGGTAGCCCCAGACCAGCTGGAATTTCTGAATAAGCTGTGGTTCTCAAAAGCCAGTGAAGGTCCAGGACAGAACAGGGTCCTGACATGTAGGGCTCAAACCAGGATATCTGAAGGAGCCCTCTGATAGACATTTAGACAGAGGACAGCACCCTGGTGGGAAAAGGCTTGGCACCAGCCTTGACTTGGCCCTGACTTGCTCTGGGCTGTGGAGACGGCCCCTTGCCCTGGAGCAAGGGTATCCCCTCACATACCCTTAGGCTCGATGAAGGCCAGATCAGGCTTGGCTGTTAGCAACTCCTCATAGCCATGGTACTTGCTGGGGAGGGAGGCAGATGGGAGCTTCCTCTGAGTCTTCTTCACCTCTCTGGGAGCTGTTTGTGGTCTCCTTTGGTCTTTCTCCTTCACCTCTAAATCTTCCCTATGAATGACGGAGGAAGGCAGCTCACTCACCTGTGTGCAAGAAGAAAAACACATTCATTCATTTGTGAACACTTCTGAACATCAGCTCTGTGCTAGTTCCTATTAAGGGCAATACTAAAACTAGGATGGGAGGAGGCACACATGAAAATAGACAAGAACCATACGACTTAAAAAATGGTGTTTCATAGGTCACACAACTAGCAAAAATAAATAAATGAAAGAAAGAAGGAAGGAAAGAAGGAAGGAAGGAAGGAAGGAAGGAAAGAAAAAGAAAAATGCTGTTAATAGAAGGGAGCACAGCAGTTTTGGGTAATCCCAGAGGAAACCCCAACCCAGCTAGTAAGGTCTCTGGAGGAAGTGATGAGAAGGAAGGAAGGAAGGAAGGAAGGAAGGAAGGAAGGAAAGAAAAAGAAAAATGCTGTTAATAGAAGGGAGCACAGAAGTTTTGGGTAATCCCAGAGGAAACCCCAACCCAGCTAGTAAGGTCTCTGGAGGAAGTGATGCCCTAGCCTGAGCTAAGTCTTGAAGAGCCAGGAGAGCTTTTCCTAGGCAGGGATGAGGAGAAGGGTGGACTGCAACTGATGAGAAAGGATGATGGTTCAGGTAAGGAACAGCATGAGCAAAGGTGCAGAGGTAAGACACATCAAGGTGCATTTGGGGTAACTAAAGACTGGTACAGCTGGAGAGCAATGTGAAGATATAGGTAACTTGAACGATAAGCAGGGCCCAGATCAATAAGGATCTTTAGATGCCAAGCTGAAGATTTTTTTTTTCATTTTCTTTATCCTCACTCTGATGGCAAGTCATGGAGGATTTTAACCTGTCCTAATGGTTTTATAAGAAACATGAAACCCATATTTTATGTAGGGGTGTAGTTACACCCTTTATTAAAATGGGTGACTCAAGAAGAAATAGAAAATCTGAATAGACCTATAACAAGTAAAAAGGATGAATTAGTAATTTTAAAACTTCCCACAAAGAAAAGCCAAGGACCAGATGGTTTCACTGGTCAATTCTATCTAACATTTAAAGAAGAATTAACACCAACCCTTCACAAATTCTTCCAAAAATTAGGAGAAGAGGGAATTCTCTGAGGTCAGTATTGCCCTGAAACCCAAACTAGAAAAAGACATCACAAGAAAGAAAAACTACAGACAGTTATCACTTATGAATATAAGTGCACGAATCCTCAAAAAATATAGCAAACTATTCAGCAACATGTAAAAAAGATTATATACCATGACCAGATGGGATTTATCCCAGGAATGCAAGGTTGGTTAAATACCTGGAAATCAATTAATGTAATATACCATATCAATAGAATAAAGGACAAAAACCTTTTGATCATCTCAATAGACAAAGAAAAAGCATTTAACTAAACCCATCACCCCTTCATGATAAAAAATGCAGAACTGGAGTAGAAAGTAACTTCCTCAACCTGATAAAGGGCATCTATGGAAAAGCCACAGCTAACATAATAATTAATGGTGAAAGACAATGCTTTCCCCCTAAGATCAGGAACAAGAGAAGGATGTCTGTGCTTACCACTTCTACTCAACACTGTACTGGAAGTAATAGCCATGTGAATTAGGCAAGGAAAAAAAAAAAGATTTTTTCCCCCTAAACAACATATTGACTCAATTGATTATATTGCTTTGGCTGCTAGGAAGCTCAGAACTGCATTTTGAAAATAAAACTCTTATGAGAGCAGCAGTGCATGATATCCATGTCTGAGTGACAGAATTATTGTTTTACTGGCTGACTGGCTAGCTCGGTTGGTTAGTGTGTGGAGCTAATAACACCAAGGTTCAGGGTTTGATCCCTGAGCTCAGAACTGCATTTTGAAAATAAAACTCTTATGAGAGCAGCAGTGCATGATATGCATGTCTGAGTGACAGAATTATTGTTTTACTGGCTGGCTGGCTAGCTCGGTTGGTTAGTGTGTGGAGCTAATAACACCAAGGTTCAGGGTTTGATCCCTGTATCAGCCAGCTACCAAAAAAAAAAAAAAAAGGAATTTCCTTTGTACTTATTTCCTTTTCTGTCCATATTTCCCTTTCATCCAACTCTCTCAATTGTTTATTTTTTTAATACTCATTTGTTTATACTCTGTGTTGTTCCAAAAACATTCTGAAGTAGCTCATAAAGATACTTTTATACTGTATAAATTTATATGTCACTATGAGTTGTCCATAGAATAAAGGAAGAGATGATAGAGTTACACATAAACGTATGGACACAGAGATGTTCATCTTGGAAAGATCTCGCAGTGGGCAGATTGGAGGGGCTAGACCGGAGGCAGAGAGATCAGGGTGAGGGATGGTACAATAATGTTTGAGGGGGCCCTGCCGATTCATCCAGCTTTGTATTTCCCTTTCCCTACACACCACCCTTCTGCTTCACTGACACTGAACATTTGTGGTTTCTGCACACACCATTGTAATTTCTTTCCTCTGTACCTTGTTTCACGCTGTTCTCTCTGCCCAGAATGTCCTTGCTTCCCACATCTTCACCTTAACTCCTACTCAGCCTGCAAAGCTCAGCTCATTTGAACCTCTACTAGTTGTATGGGGCAGAGGCATCCCCTCCTACCTCCAGGCTCTCAGCCCCGGGGTTTCCCTGTTCCAGCACTGACTGCATGTATTGTTCCCATCTATCTTCCCCATTAAACTGAGAGCACCAGAAGGGCAGGACCTGTGTCTGATCCATCTGCATTCCCAGGATCACGAGGCAGCATCAGATCCTCCTGAAAAATCGGATGGAACCATCCCCCAGCCTGACCCAGAATGTTGTCTGTACCACAGGACCATGACTTGTCCCCACATGTGTCCCTCCCAGTGGCCTCCGACCAGTGAATCTCCCAGAAGGGCCTTGCAAGCCCTGCCAAGTGTGCTGCCTTCTGATTTCTAGACCTGCCCTGTGCTTGCTCGCAGCTGCTCACAGCAGTCCATCCAGCTAAGGGATGTGCAGGAACCTGAGGGAGCGGGGAATAAGTAGGCAGGGGCAGTTGGATACAGGCACCTGGGTCAGGAAGATGGACTCTGTGCTTTTGGTGTCCTCATCTGACAGGTGCTCCGGGCTGAGGCGGATGGCTGTGTCATTCAGGCGGGATATGGTCTCTTCGCTATGCACAGTGGAGTCAGAGCAGATGAGAGGCAGTGGCACGAAGGTCCGGCGGGACAGGGAAAGGCCTTCCCAGCCTTCAGTGGGCATTTCTGGCTTCAGAGAAGTGCTTTTGGCGATGGGCATCTCTTCAGCTAGCTCTGCCTCTGGCTCCTGAATTTCTCTTGAGGAAGACTTGATTGTGGTCACACATGGGTGATAGAGCATAAGAGGCTGCTTTGGCACCTTTGGGACTTGGGTTTTCACCTGTAATGGGGAAAAAGCTGGATTGGCTTTGCTCCCTAATCAGGAGTCTCTCCTCTTGGGCCTCACTAGCCTAAGGCTACTTGTATAGTGGTCAGAGCATTGGGTAAGGACTCAGAGGGAAGTAGGGAGGGAAATCACACTTGTTGGGCATCTATCATGTGCCCCATGCATGATGTAAGCTGTTTTATTTACACCTCAAAACTACCCAGTGAATAATTATCTTCATTTTATAAATGAGGAAAGTGGGTTCAGAGAGGTAAAATGACTTGCTCAATGTCACAGAGTAATTCAGTGGCAAAGCCTGGACTAGGTGATTCCAGTCCTGGGCTCCAGGCCTCACACTGCATCCCTGATGATATCACTCTGGTTCTCAGTAGCCAGATCAAGGTTTAACATAGTGCTTTTGACTTTCTTCATGGACTCCTAAGAGGGAGTATTGGAGATGGCCCTGTATTTTCTGGAAGGTGGCAGCACCAGGGCTCTTTCAGGATGCTGGTCCCTATACCTTATATAAAGACCAAAAGACAAATATCTTTTAAGGTCAAGGGCCAATAACTTCTTTTCTGTTGAACCACTCAATTTCCTTAATTAGCAAAAACCCATCACCATTCTTTCTCTCCTTCTTTGCCTCAGTTGGCAGGAGGTATCCATGTGCTCAATTTACTTCAACTGGGCTTACTTCTTCCTCCCCTCCCTATTTACATAGTGGGTTTTAAGAAATCTTCCTCAAAGGTATTTGGTTCTCTTATATCTGTATTTTTACAGACTGTGTAGTGTACAGGAAAGATCCCAAGTACTATAGTTAGAAAAAAAACATAGGCTGGAATACAGTTCTATCCTTTGGCCTTCCATTCCCTCCTTGCAAAATGGGAGAATAGGCCCTGCCCTGCCTATAGCACAGCGTGTTCCCAAATGAGAGGATGTGTGCGAATGTACCTAACAGACTAAAGAGTATGAAGGAAGACTGTTTTATAAAATAAGTACATTTTAAAGAAAAAAATTTGTTTTGAAAATATGTAAAACCTCAGTGTTTAGACTTGAAGCTTGAGGGACGCAGAGTCTTTTCAGAACCCATGCCACAGGGGAACAGGCAGCACCACACCTTAGTGTCCCAAACACCACGTGCCATCATTTGGTGGCTGGCAGGGAAGGGGCAACATTTATCCCTCCCTTTCACAGTTCTGTGATGGAGGTGCTGGAGGGAGTGCTCTTTCCCCATTCCACCATGACCTTCCCAGTCCCTCCAAGGGAAGAATGGATGATCTAATCGGTCAGAGGTTGATAGTCACTGGGCCCTGTTTCTGTGGCGGGCTGGGTTATCGAGCATTAAGAGCAGACTGTTTCAGCTTCCGTATGATTCTCACAAGCAAAGGGCTCACACACAGCTTCTCGGTTACAAGCCTACTCTGGCAGGTTCTCTGTTTACCCCGTTGTCTATGCCTAGGTATGAGAGGAGAGCCTGCAGCTTTTGTCCATGTAACTGGGTGCATAAAAGGTCCAGGATCCTGCTCTGTGCATCTAGCCCCATCTCTGTAAGCACACTGGGGACATGTAGGCATCCCCAGTTTGGCTTTAGGCCCAAACGAAATTCTCCAGTCTAGCCTAGAAGGTATTTTCCTAGATTAACAAAGCACTGATCGGTTTCTCTTTTGGCCATTGGTATTTGTGTTTACCTAACTCTGTTAGTCAGAACCTTGGATGGGAGGCAGGGTGTGGGGTCCCCTGGGCTCCAACACTTAATTTTTAACAAGTAAGCTAGTTCAACTCTCTGAGCCTGTTTCCTTATCTGTTGCAAGGATTATGGGATAGTTATGTGCAAGTGCTTGGCAGAATACTGGGCATGGGTGCTCTGTAAAGGGGAGAGAGGATTCTGTCCTTAGCATCCAGCTCACTCTGGTTTTGCCCCCCTTCCCAGCTGGCTGATGGAAAGGTAGTAGATCCTCGGAGGAGGCAACAGATAAGGGGAAGATGGTGGAAACCTTTGGAATTTATGTCTATTTATGACTTGAAATGCTTGCTCTGGTCCTCTGAGGACTTTAGAGCTTGTCTGGACAGAGACAAGGTGTAGAAGAGATGGCAAGGGAATAACTGCATTTAACTTGGGATCAGCAATGCTCCATCCAGCTTTCAGCTGTAGAAAGAATACAGTTCAGGAGGGAGGAGGATTTCATAGAAATTTTTAAAATTCATCAGATGAAAGAGGGATTTGACCTACTTTATGGCATCCCAGAAGACAAGTCTAACAGCACTAGCTAGAAAAGTTACAGAGGAAGCAGACTGCTCTCAACATAAGGAAACACTTCCTTACAGTTCAACAGGAGATGTGTTCTGGTCCTGGCACAGCCATTCCTAATTACCATAGGTGACTATAACTTGCATTGGTATGGGTTTTGGGAGTTTATAAGGTATTATTATTTCTGTGGTTTCATCCAATCCTCTCAGCAGCTCTGAGAGGTTTTAGAATTGAGAAAACTGAAATTCAGAGAATGAAACTCTTGCCCAAGGTCAAGGCAGCTATGGAAAGTGAGATAGTTAGGCTCATCCCTGGGTCTTCTGACTTCATAGCTGATTTCTGTCTCCCTCTCCACAGCTTCTTCTCTGGGCTTTAGTTTCTCTGTAAAATTAGGGGGTCATACTCAGTGACCTCCAAGGTTCCTCCCTACTCTAACATTTTAGGTCTCTCTGGCTGATTGTCTTGTTCCTCCTGGTTATATCTGTGTTTAACAGAGCAAGGAAGAGAGAAGTCAATACTGAACCTAATGGAAAGATTCCAGGCATTGCGGGACACAGCACCTCTACTGCCAGGTTAGGCTGCACGCATTAAAATAGGCTCCACTCCCTCTGAGGGTGGTGGTCCTGCCTTGGAAGCTTACCTTCCATGATTCCTTCCGAGGCATCAAAATATGATGCTTAGCCTTTACTATCTTCCTTCGAATTAAGTGGATCCCCAGTCGCTCCTGGAGGAAGCTCTTTAGCAGTGGAGGGACTCCTGGTGCCATGATGGGAAAATAAGATTACCATTAGCTAATATTTACTAGGGCTTACTATGTGCCAGGCACTGTTCAAATTACTTTACATGTATTAATATAACTTTTTAAATTCTTATACCAATGCTAGAAGGTAAGTACCACATTATTCCCATTCAATAGGCAAGGAAACTGAGGCACAGAGAGGTTAAGGAATTTTCCCAAGGTAACAAAGACAGTGTGAAGCAAAGATTAAAACTTCACTGGTGTCACTCCAGTGCCCAGGACTCTAAAATGCCTCCAGCTGCTATACCGTGGACAGCAGGCCCCACTGCTGCATTCAGCATGCTCTAGGAGGGGAGGGCCCTGCAGTTGGGCCCACATCCCTCCCCAACTGGGAAGTGGGAAATGAGGTCACAACAGACCTGTTCCAGATGAGCTGGTGCAAAGCAGGTGCTCAGCACTGTCTGCTATTTTCTCCATTCCCTAACGCACCATAAACCTTGTCTACCACAACACAGAGTAGAGCTCAGGCCTGGTACTGATGAGGTGGGGATGAGGGTGCCCACACTGCGCCTTGGGTTAGGGTTGCGGGGGCAGGTTTTCAGGCACCATACCTCGTGTATGGGCCACCAAAGGGTTGTTATGAAAGATGAGCTCACAGAGAGATGGGAAGAGAGCTACTGGCAAGAGAGCATCCTCCTTCGCGATCTGTAACAAATGCAGGAGAGACCATCAAGTCGAAACCACCCCTCACCTCTGGCCAGGTAAATCCAGGTTGCACATTGCAGGGCTGCATGCTTGCTAGGATTGGGAGTGGAGCCGGGGAAGAGATGCTGCTGTGGATGGGACTCACTGCTGTGCGATGCCTTATCCCTGTGATATCATCTGCTCAGACCCAGAATACCTTGCCCCTCCTGTCTGAAATTCCACCATCACTACTGCATGTTTGAGAGTTAAGAATTTTTCTCCGTTCTTCACACTGGATATGTTAGCCTACTTCAAGGTACTGGGGATGTTGGCAGCAAAATAATAAGAATAAACACATAGAGTACTTGTCTCACAAAGAGTCTGGAAGGTTGGCAGGGCATTGGGTTAAGTTCAGTATACAATCTGTCCAACACTTCACCATCCTTAACACAAACCTCTACACATCCCATCAATTGGTCAACAACACTCCTGATGGTCTTTTTTCACTGAGGCCAGTCCTAGGCACTAATCTGCGGAAGGATTGGGAACAGGATGTCAGGGAGACTCACCCATCTACGGGATAAGCAGAGCCAGTGATCAGAGAAAAACCTTCTGCTTGTCTGGGGCCCACAGAGTTCTACCCTCGTGAAGCCAGCCTGCAAATGGTGGCTCGTTGGCCAAGCCAGCCTCCGAAGGGCAAAAAAATATCAGAGAAAAACCTTCTGCTTGTCTGGGGCCCACAGAGTTCTACCCTCATGAAGCCAGCCTGCAAATGGTGGCTCGTTGGCCAAGCCAGCCTCCGAAGGGCAAAAAAATATATAATCCTTCTTGAGCAGAGTAGCTGGAACATCTGGGGACTGTCTTCAGGAAGGTATCTATTATCAATGGAAGAGTATCAGAGGGGCCAGGAGTGGGGCAGTGGCTTATTAGACCCCTGGACACACTGAAAGGTGATGGGTCAGATGTAGGGCCCAGAGAAGGTGCTAAGGTGCAGGGGCTGGAAGGGGGAGGCCACTTCAGTTTGGCTTCCTCTGGAGCTTCACTGGGTAGCACTGGACTTCTACTGAGCAACTGACTTATTCATTATCATTCATTTTTATTCATTCAACCAAAAAATATTTACTGAATACCTACCATGTACCAAGCACCTTGTTGAGAATGAGCAAAACAAATATGAGTCCTGCCCTCAAGGAGCACTGTCTAGTAGGAAACAAGCATTGGAGAAACAGTGAAACAAAGGAGAGTAGATTTACATGTGATAAGTGCCACAAAAGAGAGGTGCATGAAATACTAGGGTGATGTGCCTAGAGAGGGTAGAGAAGGTATTCCTGACATCTGAAGGTGGGGTAGGAGGTAACTAGTGAATGCAGTGGAGGATGGAGTGTGGCAGAGACAACTCTGTATTAACCAAAACCATTTCTTCTACCTCTGGCACAGAGATTGTACTCCTAGCCTTCCGGGCAGCTGGGTGTGATCATGTGACTCAGTTCTAGCCAATGCAATGTGGGCGGAAGTGATAAATGCTGCTTCCAGGCATAGCCCATACAGAACCTTCTGCACATCCTCTACTTTTCTCACCACACGCCCCCTGCTCAACCATCTACCCATCAGAAACATAAGATCCAGTAAAGTACTCTTAAGACCCTACAGGATGACAGAACCATATCTAGAAGGGACCTGGGTCTTTGAATGATGTGAAAGGCCACCTGGCAATTAGGAATATTCACAATGGACTTTATAAAAGCTAGAAATAAACTTTGTGTTAAGTAACTGAGATGTTCAAATTTGTTGCAGAAGCTAGTATTACCTACTCTAATGCAGAGAAGAAGCATTCCATGCAAAGAGAACAATGCATGAGAGGCCTCATAGCTTTCTGGAATTTAAAGAATGTTGGTGTGACTAAAAGCAGAGAGAAAGAGGAAAGAGGATGCTTGGTGTAAAATAAGGCTGGAGATGCAAGTAGGGGCCAGATCCATGCTAGTTAAAGATTGTGGTCCTTGGGGAACCCATTAGATGGATTTTAGAAATATGAGGACCCTAATTTGACAAAACTTGGTGTTGGGTTAGATATGGGCAGGGCAGGGCAGGGGCAGGGGATGTAAAGGAGAGAGAAGTATCAAGGACGACAACCAGTTTTTGGCTTGAGTAACTGGATAGGTGAGGGAGCTATTCACTAAGATAGGGAACAGTGGAAGAACCAAATCTGAAGATAAAGATCATTAATCCACTTTGTATTTGTGCACTTTGGAGGTACCTTTGAGACCTCCAAGTAGAGATGTCAAGTAGGTAGTTGGATACACTGGTCTGGAATACTAGTGGAGAGGAGAGATCCACATTGAAGTTATAAATTTGTGAGTCACTGTTCATGGGCCAATGGGAATCTGAAGTCATCCCTAAGGAGAGAGTACAGAACGAGAGGAGAAGAGGGTCTAAGCGTGGGCCTTAATGGTCTCTAACATTTGATCCACTAGACCAGGGGTCAGCAAGCCTTTTCTGTCAAGGATCAGGTAATAAATGTTTTGGCTTTGCAGGCCACACATTCTCTGTAGCAACTACTCAACTTCACTTTTGTAACACAAAAGCAGTCATAGACAATTCAAAAACAAATAGGTGTGTGGTGACTCTTTTCTAGTAAAATTTTAATTATGGACTCTGCATTTCATATAATTTTAACGTGTCATGAAATATCCTTCTTTTGATTTTTTTCAACCATTTAGAAATCACTCTTAGCCCACAGGCTATACCAAAACCAGGGCTGGCAAATACAGCCCATGGGCCAGATTTGGCTCACCATATGTTTAATAAAGTTTCATTAGAACAGTTTCTCATTCACTTACATATTGCCTTTTGTGCTACAAGGGCAGAATTGAGTACCTGCATTAGAGTGAAATGTTTATTATCTGGCCCTTTACAGAAAAATTTGCTGACCTCTTTTCTAGATTCCAGAGGAGGATGAACCTACAAAGGTGCCTAATGTGTGTTGATAAATGACTGTATGATAGTGGTTAAAGAGAGTGCAGAGTCTCTTGTGTGCAAATCAGGGGATCAAGAGACAATCACTATGAATGGGAGATGGAGAATTTAATATAGTTTCATCAGGATGCAAAATTCTATCCATCCAACTTACGTGATTAAAAAGCTGAAGAAAGTTATAATTAAAATTGATAGTTCAAGGCCGGCCCGTAGCTCACTTGAGAGAGTGTGGTGCTGATAACACCAAGGCCACGGATTAAGATCCCTATATAGGGATGGCCGGTTAGCTCACTTGGGAGAGCGTGGTGCTGACAACACCAAGTCAAGGATCCCCTTACTGGTCATCTTTAAAAAAAAAAAAAAAAATTGATAGTTTAAAGATCCCAGGGCATGTGTGTCATGTTTTCTATGAAATTAAGCGCCGGATGAAAGATATGGGCTTAGGATTCTGGCTGATGTGGCAAGCAGAATCTGGCTATTAGGCCAGCCTGTTCCCTATAGGCAGAGTTGAATGCCCCTGGAAATATATTCAGGCTGCAATGGTAACTTTAAACTTCTGCCCAATCTCATTGGGTTAAGTGAATATAAAGATTAAGCGAAAGTGATTATTTTACTTTTGACACAAAAATTTCTACATTTCTGAGTGAATATTCTAGATGCATAAGTTCTATCTGAAGGCAGAACTGGATTTAAAATTTTTAACTTTAATAAACTGAATATTAATTTCGACACAGTATCTGTATTCCTTGACATGATCAAAATATTGTTCACTCATCTAGCAAACTTATTGAGCACCTATCATGTATCAGGTAATATTCTAGATGATGAGGATACAGATATAGGCAAAACAAAGTCCTAGTGCTAAAAAAAATTTATATTCTGGCAGTAGACAACTGGTAATAGACAGAAACATATAATATGTTAGGTAGTAACTGTCAAAAAGAAAAATACCATTTAAAAACTCAGGTTGTAGGACCAGCCCATAGCTCACTTGGGAGAATGTGGTGTTGATAACACCAAGGCCACGGGTTCAGATCCCTATATAGGGATGGCTGGTTAGCTCACTGGGTGAGCGTGGTGCTGACAACACCAAGTCAAGGGTTAAGATCCCCTTACTGGCCATCTTTTTAAAATAAATAAATAAATAATAAAAACTCAGGTTATAATGTAGAGAAATGGAAGAATGCTGCCCCAACATTAACAACAAGAGAAAACCTGAATAGCCTACAAAATCATCACTTTTCTTGAGTCCAACAGAGAGCTAAGGTCTCCAGGCAATCATGTGGCCTGAAATTAAAGGAAAGACCAGCACCTCCAAGGAGAGATGGGACACAGACACTAGCTCACTTGTGGCAGAATGTGGCAGATGTGAGTGCCACACAAGCATTTGGGAAGAAATTGGCTAAAAATGTTAATGAATTGCTGAAGGCCAGGTGTGGCCTAGAGTAAGAGGGTAGAACCCCTGAGAGCTATAGACACTAGGAGAGTTCACGCTCACTCATGTGAGAAACACTGGAGGCAGGAGAGAGATTGGAGGAAGACTTCTTTGGTGGTGTGGGCCTGGAGGAGGAAAGCAGCTGCCACTATAGGAAAGGCAAGATGCCTTGCCAACCCTTCTCCCTAGTGAACAAAAGCCTTCAGTTGCTGAGGAAGGTCAACAAACTCTGTGGGCCCAGGGAGCTGCATCTGAGGGAGGGAAAAAATAAAAACCCACTACTCCTGGGGTAGAGGCAAGAAACCAACCTGGGCCCAGTACATTAGAGGTCTCCTACTCCTGGGAGAGGGGTAAGACCACCGAAAAAGGCCCATCCTTGAGACACAGGGACTCATGGCTGCCTAAAACTGGGGTGGGAACTGCCCTTGGCTCCTACAAGCAGACTAGCAAGCATTAAAAAACAAGCAGAAGCAGTCTACTGCTGGAGGAGGGACAAGAGTGTGGAAATAAACCGCTCTGAGGAACAGGCACACAGGGAAGGCTAAAAGCTGAAGACAGAGCAGGAACACTGAGAAAAGCCCTCTGGCACCCTAACAAGAAACAACTATACGCAGTCTAAAAGAGATGACCTTTAAGTACAAAGACATAAATAGGCTGAAAGAAAAAGGATAGAGAGAGATATACCATGCAAAAAGTAAGCATAAGAAAGCTGTGTAGCAATATTAAAATCAGACAAATTAGACATCAAGACAAGCAGTGTTATTAGAGGCAAAGGGAGACAATAATAATAGAAGTATCCATACATTACGTAGATACAGGCTGAGCATTCCTAATTCAAAAATCTGGATCTAAAATGCTAAAAATTCTGGAATTTTTGGAACGCCAATGTGATGCTCAAAGGAAATGCTCATTAGAGCATTTCAGATTTCAAATTTTCGTATCAGTGATGCTCAACCAGTATGTATTCTGCAAATATTCCAAAATCTGAAACACTTTGGGTCCCAAGAATCTTGGATAAGGATACTCAGCCTGTACAACAATCTAAATATATATGCCCTGACAACAGACTTCAAAGTACATGGAACAAAAACTAACAGAACTAAAGGGAGAAATAAACAAATCCACAACTATGACTGAAAATTTTAACACACTGCTCTCGGTAATTGATAAAACAAATAGACAAAACGAGAGTGCAGAGAAGATCTGAGTGATACTACCAACCACCTTAACTGACATTTATAGAACACTATCTCCCCAAACTGCATAATACACATTTCTTTTTCTTAAGTGCAGATGGAATACGCACCAAGACAGACCACAGAGTGGACCACAAAACAAGTTAAATTTCAGAAGAATGAAATCTTACAGATTAGGTTATCTGCACACAATAGAATTAACTTAGATATCAACAAATAAAAGACATCTAGAAGAGTCCCATATATTTGGAAATTAAACAACTCACTTCTAAAACACTCATGGGTCAAAGAAGAAATCACAAGAGAAATTAAAAATATTTTAATTGAATGAAAGTAAAAACAATACATCACAACTTGTAGAACACAGCTAAAGCAGTGCTTACAGAATAAATTTTTAGCTTTTCAAGCTTATATTAGAAAGAAGAAAAATCTATACAATTATTGTTTGTCAATTATAAATTTAAAAATTTAAAAAAAGAGGAGAGGTCTAAATCAATGTTATAAAACTACACTATTGAGGGAACTACAAAGAGAGGAGCAAATTAAATGCATAAGTAGAAGGACAGAAATAAAGTTATGAGCAAAAATCAATGAAATGAAAAAGACAAAATAGTAAAGAAATACAGCGAAACCAGCAGCTAGTTTAATTTTTAAAAAGTCAAAAGTGGTATCTTCTAACTCTTTTGGATTAATAAAATAAGAAAGAAGACACAAATCACCAATTCCTTTTTTTTTTTTTTTTAAAGATGACCGGTAAGGGGATCCTAACCCTTGGCTTGGTGTTGTCAGCACCACGCTCACCCAGTGAGCAAACCGGCCATCCCTATATAGGATCTGAACCCGTGGCCTTGGTGTTATCAGCACCACACTCTCCCGAGTGAGCCACGGGCCGGCCCTACAAATCACCAATTTCTAGAAGACGGACTCATAATACTTGTACATGTAATGTTCACTGATTTTGGATAAGGGTGTGACAACCATTCAATGGGGAAAGAACAGTCTTCAATAAATGGTGTTGAGAAAATTGTATATCTACATGCAAAAGAATGAAGCTGGATGCCTATCTCACACCATATATAAAGATTAACTCAAAATAGAACAAAGACCTAAATGTAAGAGCTAAAACTATAAAACCCACAAAAAAACACTTGGGGATTTAGCTGTACCAACTGCTGCCTTAGAAGGAATATAAGCACAGTATCTTAAAAGTTGCCTGCATTTCAGACTTAAGTAGGGCTCAGTTAGTGTGATTTTACAGCAAATCAAACAGTTCATGGATACTGTAAAAATATAGGAAAAACATGTTAAATCTGTCCTATGGACTTTATATCTGCTGCTCCCTTAGGTTAGAACATTTCTTGCCTCTCACCTCCTGGCCCCCAGCCTCACCTGACTAAACTCGTTGTTTCAGATCTCAGCTTAAACACCACTACCTTGAGAACATTCCCTGATAACAAATATTAGGTTAGCCACTCCCCATCATATACTTCATTGCACTGCAAATTTCCTTATAATGTTAAGCATGCTTATATTGTGCTTATCTGTCCAATATCAGTTTTCCCTATAGGTGATAAAGTCCAAAAGGGCAGGGGCCAAGTTATTTTTTTCACAGCTGTATACCCAATGCCTAGCACAGAGCCTGGCACATAGTATGTGCTAAATAATTATCTGTGACCAAATGGATGGACTCCTGTCTTGGCCTATACTCCCTCCACTTTCCCCGCCCTGAGAATTCCTGAGCTCAAATACCTGTAATGCAGAGAACTGGAGGGTTGGCTATGGGGCCAGAGCAGCTCACATCCCACCCTCCCATCTGTGCCCCTGAAGAAAGAGGTAGAGAAGCAGAGAGTCACCTTGTTGTAGGCCAGGCTCAGGTACCTCAGCTCCGGGAAGGGCGGGGCCAGCGTCTGGTTCCTGGCCTTCAGTGACTTCACAGGCAGAATCTCGAATATGGGAGGAAGTGACCATACCTTGGTTGTCTTAGAAGGAAAAAAAAGTCAAAGTCAAAGTGCCCTGATAATAATGAAGTTGAGGCTGCCAAGGACCAACAGATCCCTCCCATGGAATGTGGTGGGAAGAATGACCTTTCTGGAGAGACGTGGCCAAAAGAGACATCTAGGATCATAAGGGAAGATGTTGCCAATGGCCCAGAATTCTGGCTCCAAGTTCCCTGAGGTCACATGGTGAATTCTCCAGCACCCAAAGTTCTAGTTTCAAGTTCTCTGAGGCCACAGGATAATAGAACACTGGTGTAGACATCAGAAGCACTTTGCCTCCACCTCCCACCCTCTGCTCTACAGCAGCTTATCCTGAATAGGCCCTTCTACACAGTTGGGCTAAAATTTCTCTAGAAGACAAAGGGACAGATGCTTGTGTTGTTAAAGGGAATTTTCCTAGCTGAGAGAGGGAGAGCAGGAGTGACTTGAACCTTGAACACCTGGTCTGACAGGCTAGCCCACATCCTCCAGTGGAGGTTATTTATTCAAGGATGAAACAATAGCTAAATCCTGAATGACTTCAGCCAGGCTTTGAGACTTGAATGTGGCATGGTGCATATAGGTCACTTGCAGGGTCATGGCCTCTCCGTACAACCTAGACTGCTTCAGGGTCAACATGTTTGATCAAGCAGTAAAAGGAAATTGCTGGATTAACCATGCCTAACTCAGTTCAGTCACTGATTCCTTGAGTTAGATGGGTCCAAAGGATATCACAGGGTAGATATTGGGCTAATGATTAGGTTCAGATGAACCAGATTCTGTTCCAAACTCCATTAATCACTATATAGTCTTAAATTTAAGCAAGTCACTTAAATTTCACTGTTTATTCAGTGAATATTTGTGGAGCACCTATTTTGGGTCAAGTATTTTGTGCCATTCTGGGTCAACTTATAAAGCCATGTAAGTGGGAAAGGTCGGTCAAGAGTGCGATTAAAGCAAAAATCAGTGAGGGTGTTTGGGAACTTATAAGACTCCCCTCTGCAGGTTATATGAATACAGCCTCTGAGAGACAAAGGAGAATGCAGTGGCAGTCTGATAGGGAAGTCTCTTCCACTGTGCATCTCCTTATTTGGAGCAAGGCTGTGTGAGCTGGAGGCAAGTTAGACTGGAGCACAGAAAAGGAAGAGCCAAAGAGTCAGACTCAGGAGTGTTCTGACCTGAGGGCATGGCTGGCCCTGCTAGGGACAGAGAGGGCCCTGTCTTAGAGGGGGATGCATCTGTTTTTTATAGAGAGAGGCCACTAAAAGTGTCAACCATCCAACTTACTCTCTAGATTCTCAGATGCCAGACAGCTGAGATCTGACACTGAGCAATCCTACCAATTATCTTTGACTTTTTTCTTTCTTTTTTTGCCGCTGGCTGGTATAGCAATCCGAACCCTTGACCTTGGTGTTACCGGTACCACACTCTACAGAGTGAGCTAACCAGACAGACTTCAGTTATCTTTGACTTCTGTGACAGACTGTTTAATGGCCACAAGTCCCTCCATCCCATATGTATGCCCTTTTGCAGCGTGACCTTGCTGTTCCTCCCATTCAGAGGTGGAATCCATATCTCTACCCTTTTAAAACTAGATTGGCTGTTGTAATAAAGAGTCTGTCTGGTCTTTGTCCCAGGCACTGAGCTTCTAAAACCCTTGGAATTTACTGGTAGGAATGTCTTGTTATTCAGGACCCCTTGGATCACACCTGAGTTTATGCTAATGAGGTGACTCTGGGTGGGGTTGGCAATGCCAGAAAGACCAACCATGTGATTAGAGGGTTAGGGCACTGAGCCAGCCTGACCTCTGGGAAGCAGGGTAGGGGAGATAGAGATTGAATTCAGTTATGTTGCCAATGATTCTCCAATAAAAGCTCTGGACTCTGAGGTTTGGGTGAGCTTCCTGATTGGTGAACACATCAATGTGCTGGGAGGGTGACATGCCCTGATTCCATAGGGAGAAGGCACAGAAGCTCTGCATTTGGGACTCTTCCAGCTCCTGCCTTATGTGTCTTTTTATTTGGCTGGCCCTGATTTGTATCCTTTATAGTTCAACTGTTAATTTTAAGTACAAATAACCCTTTCCCGAATTCTGTGAGTCATTCTAGCAAATTACTGAACTTGAGTGGGTTATGAGAACTCGTGAATTTATAGCCAATTGGTCACAAATGCAGATAGCCTGGGGCACTCTGACTTGTGGCTGGCCCCTGAAGTGAGGGCAGTCTTGTTGGGAACTGTGACAGTATTTGAATTTCAGAACCTTGCAGTTCACCCTTGCTCTCTTGAAACCCTGATGCCAACATGCTCCTGACTTGTGGCTGGCCCCTGAAGTGAGGGCAGTCTTGTTGGGAACTGTGACAGAATTTGAATTTCAGAACCTTGCAGTTCACCCTTGCTCTCTTGAAACCCTGATGCCAACATGCTATAAAGTACAGGATGAAAAGACTGCATGGAGAGAGATGCCATGCCATGCCAGCTGTCCACCTGAGTCCAGCCCCCTGCTAGCCTGCCAGCTGAATGCAGCTGCATGAGTGATCACTGGCGAAACCAGCAGAACCCCACAGCCAACTCAAACAATTGTGAGACATAATAAATTGCTATCATTTGAAGTCAGTAACTGGTTTGCTACGCAGCAGTAGTTAACTGATACAATTTCTCACACAGATGTATCTGTGGGGAGGCAGTGTACTTGAGCTGCCTCTCAGGGAGGCGGTGTACTTGAGCTGCCTCTCAGGGAGGCAGTGTACTTGAGCTGCCTCTCAAGGAGGCAGGCTGGTTAAGTGTAGATACTACTTATTTTACATGAATAAATCAATATTTAGCTTATGTGCATTAGCCTCCATGAGCTTGGTTAGTGAGCATCTATGCTGAGAGAAAACCAATTTTCTGTGCTGACAAAAATCAAGTGTCTAAGCCTATCACACCGAGGATTAGATCCTGGATGGTGGTGTATCTGGCAAGGAGCTTTCTAGCTTTGGGAGCTCTTGTGATGTAGCTGCTGGGCTTCATCCTGGTGGCAGCCCCACTTCAATGCTAGTTTAATCATTTGAAGCAGCCACCATTATTACATTATGCTGAACAGCTTCTGAGAACAATGAAAGTCAGACTGCAGGCTGCATGAGGTCAGGGCCCTGTCTGTCTAGGTCACTACTGCATCTCCAGTGGCTAGCACAGTGCCTGGCACATGGTAGGTACTTGGTAAATATCTGTTCAATGAATGGGCTTCCTCAGTGTAATGTATGTATAAATGTCTCTCAGGGCTCCATTAACTTATTTGTTTTCATTTATTAAAATTAAGGTTCTAACTCAAGAACACAAATATAAAGCAGACGGTTCCTACCTCTGAGGCTGAAAATCCAGGGTAAGATGAGAACACAACCTCTGAAACAAAAGAGAAACAGAACAAAGGTTGGTAAGTGCCCTGACTGACCCCCAGAGAAGCCAATGTATATGGCAAGGTGACTCATAGAGGGGTCCACATTGGTCCTTGGCCCAACTGCTAACTGGGAAGAGCAACTAGCTGTGACATCCATCAGGTAATAAGTCCCTTTGCACTTAGGATAAAATCAAAACATCTTATCCCAGGCCTCTGAGGCCCTGTGTGATCAGGCCTTTGCCTACTCCTCCAATTTCATCTCATGCTACCATCTCCCTCACTCACTATATTTCAGCCACACTGACCTTTCTGACTTTGCAGTATGCAAGCTCTTTATAGCCTCAGAACTACTGGGGAGTCTGTACTGAGCAGAAAGTTAACCAACTGTCTTAGAAGAGAGAAATGTATATAAAAGACATTCTGTCAGAGGATTAGAAAATACTATTTGTTATATTAGTAGAAATAGAATATGTTTAGTCAGTGAATTCAGGAGAGAGATTGAGAACAACCAGCAGCATGGTCATAAGGAGGAGGCTGCAGAGATATTTCATTCTTGGGCCCATCAAAATGAGATGAACCAATAAACAGCTGAGTTTAACCTAATAAAGCAGAGCCTCTGCTGGGACTGGATCCTCTGCAGGCAGCACTTGCATTTACTCTAGTTAACAGAACCCCTCCCACATGTTAATTATATTATAATGAGAAAGGTCACATGATAATGAAATAAATAGTGAGAAGGGATGGAACACATGGCATGAATAACTTCTATGATGAGAGTCTGCAAGGGAGTTTGGAAAAGGTTTGTGCAATGAACAAAGTAGGAGTTCACCAGGGGATGGGCCATGGTTGCAAATATGGTACTAAGTAGTGATCCCCTGGAGAAACAGAGAGCCCCCCACATCTAGAAAGATGGACTTCAGCACACTGTAGCTGAATGCAAGTCCTGCCCTTCCCACAATCACAGGAAGCAACTCCATTTTAAGCTTCTAATTGAGAATTGTTATACAAAAAAATGAACAATCAAGAATATCCTAATATTTGAAGAAAATGAACAGTAAAAAGGGTAAATTAAGCGTAGTATAAATGGAATAAATAAGACCAGTGAAAAGGACTGAACTAGGGATATATGCAATAACATTAATGAATCTCTCAGACATAACGTTGAGTGAAACAAATCAGGTACAAAAGAACACATGAATTTCAAATCAGGCAAAACTAATCTATGGTGAAAGAAGTCAGAATGGTGGTTATTCTTGGAGGAGGTACTGACTGGAAGGTTACCACATGGGTCACTGGAAATATTCTGCACTGTAATATGGGTAGTGGTTAAAAGGATGTATACAAGGGTACTTAAAAAAGCTTATGGAAAAATGGAATTAAAAGATTATACACATCTTCCCATTAATTTTTTTGAAGACTCTTGTATATGTAAAGATTCAAGCTCTATATAAGATGTCTATATTTTACCCTATATATTTTCCTCAATTTCAATGTAAAAAATCAAACAGTGTGGCACAGTAATAGATAACTAGATCAGTGGAACAGAATACATAATGCAGAAATATAGTCAGGTATTAAGGAGATTTTTATTTATAATAAAGGCGATATTTCTTTCCTTTTTGTCTCTGAATGTTGCCGAGTGGATGTGATTCTTGGAACCGTGGTAGCCCTCTTGAGACCCCAATGGGAACCAGCCTAAAAAAGACAAGCAAGCAGGCTAAGAATGGCAGAGAAGAAGATGGAAAGAACTCAAGTCCCTTGAGGACATCAATGCACCACAGAATTTACCATCTCCGGAAAGCCTTACTTCTGAGTTTCTTGTTATTTGAGATTTAAAAAAAAAAAAAAAACAGCATTCATACGAAATATATTAGCATTTAATTCTTTTTCTTCTGAATTAGAGTTTCTCTATCATCAGAAATTCTGTAAAGAGGGGCCGGCCCAGTGGCGCACTGGATAGTGCGCCGCTATGTTACTTTATAATGAAGATAACACCATTGCAAACTGTCTGTAGAGAATGAGGGAGTCACTGAAATAGCTCATGTTATTGAATAGTCCAGCTTAAATGTAGCAGCTCTCCAAGGAGCCACAAACTTTCAGAATAAACACACAGAAGTTGATTCCCACCATGGGGCCAGAATCTCTGGGACAAGACTCACCTGTCCGGTCAACATCCTTTTTCATCGGCAGTACAGTATAATCTGGTTGCTCTTCTGAGGCCTCAAACATCCACGACTTGGGCTGCAGCATGGTCCGGAGCTCTTTCTGGGGACTTTCCCTGCCTCCAACCCAGTCCCCTGACTCATCTCGGAGCTGAACCTGCTGTAGGTACGGGATCCGGAAAATCCTGTTTTGATCCAGGCTTAACTTCTTCAGTCTTCAATTAAGGAAAGTGAATACAGAATCACAGCAACAATGACACCTCAGGGATATTTACCAAGCAACTTTAGGGAAAGAACATGGAATCAGGCTTGGACACTCACTCCTCTTGTGACCTTGAGTCAGTGACTTAACTTCTCTGGTCCTCACTATCCCTATCTCTAAAATGAGGATAATATTTATTAACCTTTTAAGGTTCTTGTGAAGATTAAATGAGACAATATTAAAATGGCCTGACATAAAGTAAACTTTGCAGGCATCTAAAACTTAAAGATTTAAATGCCTGGAATTTTCTTTACTTCAACAAATAGGTAGAACTCAGCAGTAAAACTTCAAGGCCAGGATCCTATCTTGAATAGAAATAGAAAGAGACCATCTTTCTCTTTGCTGCTTCTCATCCACTCACATGATCAGAAAAGTCCTTACTGATGCCTCACTTTTATTATGAGCTAAAGCTCAGAGGGAAGAAATGACTAACCCATGGCAGCACAGCAGAGGTAAGTGGTGGAGCTAGGATTTAAACCCAGGTCTTTTGGCTTCCAGAGCAGCACTAAGGGTATCAGGGTGTGAGCAAGGTTGGTGGTTACAGAGGGCCCTGCAGAGAAAGACTTGTGGCTTTACCTCCTGAGCCCAGCAAGGCTGGCAAAGCAGGTGGGGTTGGAGAGTTTGTTGTCATCCAACATCAGTGTCTCCAGCGCTGGGAACCTCAGGATGTACCTCTTCCTTGTCAGTGATGTTAGAGATGCCTCCCTGTGAGTGCAAAGGTCTTGGGTAATGAGCAAGGATAGGTAACAAGCTCCACCATCCCCAGGAAGAAATGGAAGACAGGGAATCCACTGGGAGGACTAACCAGCTTGGGAATTTCTCTAGTGCCCAAGAGAGGTCACTATAGAGATGGACAGAAAGTTTAAATCCCGTAGGTAACAAGCTCCACCATCCCCAGGAAGAAATGGAAGACAGGGAATCCACTGGGAGGACTAACCAGATTGGGAATTTCTCTAGTGCCCAAGAGAGGTCACTATAGAGATGGACAGAAAGTTTAAATCCCTCTCCATTGATCCCTTCCCCAAATCCCTCCTGTATGGAGAAAGTTTACACAGTCTCCTGTATGGAGAAAGTTTACACATATCACTGAGACTGGGTTGGGACAGAGTGGGGAGGCACTGGTAGTACTCAGGGAAAATACCAGGGTGAATGAGGTATGACTGAGTTGCAGGGGGCCTGGTGCATTCTGCAGGTAGAACACTGCACAATTCTGGCTAAAGGCAGACTCCTGGGTATGCTGCATCACCCCAAAGACTGGTAACCATGGGAGCACCAGGAGACAATGCCCTTTGTATGGACCACAGCTCTGCCACCAAGTGCAGTAAGGTAGCCTAGATTAAGGGCATTGTCCCTGACTGCATTGAGGTTCTCCTCTTGATTGACTTCATAAAATGCACACATCAGTAAGGAGTTGAGAAGTCTCTTAAACTCAAACTATCTGAGGATTCTCAGACACACCTGAGAATGAGATTTAAAGGGCTGAGGTCCTGAATCACACAGAAGGGCAGGAAGTGGTGGTATTTTAGGTACTATCATTAATATGACCTCATTTGTGTCCCCAGGTAGATGAGGCCTAGGTAACTGTATTTAAATACAAACAGGCAAATAGCTCAAATCACATTTTTATTCTTCCCTCCACATTCCATCTTACCCACACATTAAAATAAAACATTCACGGACATATCAGCACAAATGCATGTATGAACCACAAACACACATACAACAAGAGTAAGAGAAACTAAAATTTCTTTGAAGCCTACTGCATTCCTGGCACTGTTAGGAATTTTATAAGTGCTATCTCAGAACAGCACCGAGGAGGATAGGCATTATTTATCTCCTTTTCAAATCAGGAAAGTCAAGCTCAGAGATACTTGCCTTAAGTCTCATAGCTAGAAAGTGGTAGAGTTCAAACTAGAACGCAGGTCTGCTGGCTTCCAAAACCCAGGTCCTTTCCACTGCCCCACACCACCTCCCACATTCACATCTTCAATCCTCATGTGGATTAAAGGGTGGGGAGATGGAAGGAGTAGCCATTGCCTGGGCTACAGAGAGCTTAGCAAAGGTAGGCAGTGAGTCCAAAAGCTAGGACTGCAATGTACACCTGAAGTCAGGAATATTTCACAGGTGAATTTAAAGAGGATTTAAAGTAATTTGTTTGTTCACACTCATGAATTTCTTATGTAGCCAGGTACTGAGAATACAAAGAGAAAAAGAACACATCCCTTCCCTCGAGGTGCTGTAAGTCTTATGCAGAAGGTGGATACACTGCACACAGGGGGACAAATGCTATAACAGAAGCAGGTGGGGAGGACTCGAGGAAGGCAACATTTAAGCTAAACCATGAAGAATGGAGAGGGAATTTGCCATGCTCTTAAGCACTGTGAAGAGAGAGAGAGAGAGAGAGAACAGGGAGAAAGATCATCACTTTGTAGCTGGATCTATAACACAATCAGAAGATCTGGGCAGCCATGTTTTCCATCATGGGGCTCAGAAAGACATAACCCACTTGTGAAGAAAAAAATGTGGTGAGTCACAAAGAGAAGCAGATGTGAAAGCTGAGAGATAGAACTTCCAGGCTGCTCCACAGTGCTTAGGACCTACCTTCAGTATGTCCCTAAGACATGGCTGTGAGATTCCCCAATGTTCTTATAATAAATTCCCCCTTTTTTTGCTTACTCAACACTGACAGACCTTTACAGATTATACCTGTGATAGTTCTGACTAAAAGAAGGGACAGGTCAGATAAGGTTTCAGAAAGAGCCCTGGCAGCAGGATAGAGGTATCGGCTTTGAAGTTCAGAGACCAGAGACACTCAACAGAGAAGAAAGGAAGCCTTTAGTTCACGGTATTTCAAGGTCACAGGTGACTCTTTTCCTCTTCCTGGAAGGACCAACTTTCACACACTGAATTTTTAATCTCTATCTGAGAGCAATTACAGAACAACGCACAGCTGCTCTGTTGATTTATAGTTACTTGGCCAATTTTTATTTTACTCCAGTGAAATATGAAAATAGCTAAAAAAAGTCTTCAAAAATGTCCTCTAAAGCTCCATAATAGAGAAGCTGGCTTTGTCTTATCTCTCGTGACAAGTTACACTGCTTTGTCTTTTTAAAGTTCCACCCTAATTACAACATGGGCAAGTTTCATTTTGGTCTCTAAAACAGATGTCTTAAAATGGGGGGGGGGGCAGTCATCAGATGGGTGAGGAGGACAGATGCAAGGCTTCAGAGGAAAACATAAGGCTTGCCCACTGAGCCCTTTGCGTGGCAGTTTTGAGCTCTTTGAAGTGGCAGTTTCTGTCAGTAGTAGAGAAGTGAGGTTTCCAGCTGCTCAGAGTTGCTATTTTATTATCCCTTCTCTTGGCAAATGAAATTAATACCATTTAAAATCTGATAAATCTAACAATTTTTTTAGAAGCTAAAATTATGAATTCAGCAATGGGAATTCATGTGCCATATT